TTTCTGTTCTCTTTAATTGGTTTTTTATTTAAGGATTGTTGTTAATTTATATATGGATAATAAAACAAAGAATATAGTTAAAATGAATTATGAGGACAGTGAAAAGACTAATACCAGTTTCTATAAATAACTGACTAGGTCAATATACTTGAAATAACAAATGATTTAGAAAGTAATTGAGGGAAAAGAATACCATGCAGAACTTTGCTTAAAATATATATATATGCACATGTGACATATAGTAGTTAGGAGATTATTGTTATCAAACTAGGATGTGATAATTATATAGTGATTATATTATGATACATTTTGATTATGGTTAAAGGTGAATAAATTGAGGGATGTATAAGATAAAAGGGTGGCACACTCTGATACTTAAAGTAATGATATGATATAGAATTGAATGTGAAAGAAAAATATGTATTAAGGTCATGTTTGTACTGAAGTGTAAACCTGGAACCACATTTTTCACTGAAAGAGATGTTTTTTAAATATAAACATAATAAAAAAATTATTACAAAAAAAAGGAGACAGACATTTGATGGCTCAACATAGAAGAGAAAATAGTAACAGTAGGCCATGATTACCTTTACATGAAATTTGCAATATACTGCATTGCCGTAAGCATTGACTAGCTTAAATGTATGTGACCCATAGCCATTCATGTGACGGTGCCCATCTGGAATGCCACGATCGCTGAACAGGAATGATACCTATATGAGCCAAAACAATGTACATAGCCATCTTTAATGAGAACACAGAGGCCATTGAACAACTTTTGCTATGATGAAAAGTGTAATTTAATATAGCAGCATAACAAGAATCAGGTCTTTAATTTGTATCTCCTGGTCTCTGTCATTTCCTCTGAGCTCAAGATGAAGAATGAAGGGCTTAAATGAAACAGACTAAAAGGGGCTTACCTGGTGCAAAGATTCAGGGCAAAGACTCCAGAAGTCCCACGCCATGTTTGGGTCTTTCAGGTGTGTCTGTGGGTTCCTCTTTTGAGTATGGATAAAAGATGGAAACTAACAGAATACAAAAACAAAGAATTAAAATGTTCTACACTTAAAGCTAAATCTACAGGGAGTCTTGCTTAACAACTATTTGCATAATGACCATTTGAAATTATAAGTTAAGAGTATGACTCATGTCCAAAGTTATGATTGTTGCGGTGCCCCCATGATCTTGATAGTTTTATGGGTACTTGGCAACGTGTTCGTATTTATGATTGGTTGCCATACATCATGTGATTGCCATTTGCAGTGTTCCCTGTCAGCTTTCCCCAGAATGACAATGGGGAAGCTAGTAGAGAAGGTTGCAAGCCACTTCTGCCACCTGCCAAGAGGACTTCTTTTATTTTCTTGGGGCCGGCTGAAAAATTTATATCTTGAAATATAAGGATTTCAGCATGGAGCGTTTGCAGCATGGAATGTTATAGCCAGCCCCCCAGACATAAGAGGACTTCCTCTCATTTCTGAGGGCTGGCCTAAAAAGATCCAAAATTCAAGCAGGATTTTCAGCCCAGATGATATATAACCACAGGGCAGGGAAGTACCACAGTAGGTATGGAGGAAAGGGTTGTCAGGGAGGCCTTAGAAGGCTTTGGGACGCCCAGTCCAGACTGCATAAAAGTGTCTCTCTGCTCAGAGACTAAAAGTCCTGTTCATATTGTTCGATTCCTGAGTGGAGAGGCAACACAACAAGGTACAGTAAAGAATGTGGAGTGCCTTACAGTGTAGGGGAGGCCCGGAACAGATTGTGAATGCCTATTCATTCAGGGGCTGAAAATGCTGCTTGTATCTAAGCGGAGCCACACTTGTATGCAACCAACACCAGGCACCCCCAGGGCCTGTTCTACTCCAAGACACCCCACTCTCCTTACCCAGAACTCCTTTGAGATGGCTTAATGTCTGCAAATTGAGAGTGCTGAGATTGCAGTCATTGAGCAAAGTGGGCATGTCACATATTGTTTCACAACCGCTTTGTTTCACAACCGAGATTCCGGTCCCAATTGTGATCATTAAGTGAGGATTATTTATATCAGGGGTTCCCAAACTTGGCAACTTTAAGACTTGTGGACTTCAACTTCCAGAATTCTCCAGCCAGCTATGCTTGGTTGGAGAATTCTGGGAGTTGAAGTCCACAAGTCTTAAAGTTGTCAAGTTTGGAGATCTCTGACCTGTAGTATGGATTTCCTTCCAATTATTAAATTATCAGGAATGAAAATAAAATGAACAAAAACCACTGACTTTTTAGGTATAATAATTAAGATTGTAATATTGCTTCTGCTTGCTTACTTCTACTGTGGTCCGCCAGCAGCCAGTGGAGCTGGCTAACAGACAATGAAGAAGTTGGGAAGGAACATGGGCCAGTCCTGAAGTCTGGGGAAGGCTCTGACGAGGGCTCTGTGTCAGAGGCAGAGATAGGGCTAGGACTGTCTGACAGTTATCAGCTGCCTTTGGAGTCAGACATCAATAAGGCAGATAAACAGCTGGAGCCTGTTCTTAGTGTGCGCATGCACAAAGTTGCCAGACGAAGGGAACACTAAGGAACAAGGGTTGACTTGGGAGTAAAGCCACAGGTGGACAGTGAATGGCCCTTCTCAAAGGGAACAAAAGAGGAGCAAAAGGGGAGGGGTGTTTGCAGGAGACAATCAGTTCATTCCTGCATTCTTGCCAAGTATTGTTGCATCTGAAGGATATCAGCCTGGCCACTCTCCAAGCCTGATAAAGATCTGTAATTGGGAACTATCTTGAAAGACTGTTGGCCAGGACTTTGTTGGAGAGGAATTCATTAAATAAAAGGGGTTTATGCGGATGAGGACTCAGCTTCGTGCTGTTGGGGAAGCCTCGGTCAGAACACTGTCAAGATACTCATTTTAATAGAACTCTTGTGAAAATATTAATTAAAATAAAGCTTGGTCCTAGCAACATAAATACTATTGAATCATACCGTCCCATTAAACATTTTGAAGAATCACATCTATAATTTGAGACTACTACTGAGCCAGCAATAAGTAGTTTAACAATAGACGATTTTCTATTTTGGCTGACTTTAAAGCTTTAAACCCATGTAAATTCAGCCATCTCTCTCATTATAAAAAAAGGAGTTGATAATTATTTTTCCGGATACAATTGCAAATGACAGTATTAACATAAAGCAATCTAAATAACCTGAATGCAAGTTAAATAATGGATACTTTCCCCCATTTTATCTCGCATATTCAAGATGGGCAGACTGAAATTCATATTTATTTATTTAGCATGTGGCATATCACACATAAACAGCAAGGTATATCAACATTTCAACTAAATCAGTCAAATCCAATGAAATATAAATGTTAAAAAGATCTATGTTCAAATATCAATGTCTAGACTATCTAACCATGGAAGCAAAGCCTTCTTTATATATAAAAAATCAGATACTGGACCTGTATATGTCCTCAGCTTACAGCCAGTCACAAAGTGATTTATAGTTTGATGTGGGACCCCATGGTCATACTGAAGGGAGAATACTATACCCCATTTATACAGATAGACATGTGAGGTGTGAATCCTATTCAGGATTGTCCATTGCTAATGTGGTAGTTCAAAGCCTGTCACCTTTTTTGTAGAGTTACTTATGTGTCTTCCTATGTCTGGGCATTCAGCTTTCCATTGCAAATCGATATTAAAGTTGTTGGGCAGATGTTGTGCAAGTGCCAGTGGGGGCTTCCTGGATTGGAGTCTTCCAACTGCTAGCAGTTGAAAGTCTGTAGACTTTCCTGGCTTTCAAAATACATGAAACCCCTGTTCTTTGCAACATATGGTATTTCCTATCACCATTACTGCTAAAAAAATCTGTGGAAGAATTGTATCCTGTTTTGAGACAGGAAACACCTAAACCTTATCACTTACATTCTAAAATAAAGTTTTCTTTTCCATCCCAAACTGAAAATATTAGTTTAATCTCACAAATGATTGCAATACAGCACTGTTTAATAAGATGTACTGTATTGCTTGCTTGATATGATTGATGCTCATTGCAATAGAGAACTGTTGGCAATTTGTAAGACAGGGTCAATGAGTTCTAGGTGTCCAGAAGAAACTATAATGGCAGGTTCCAAAACAATGGCCTCTCTTATTATGTTTAAGGCCTTTGGCAGAAACCTGATTTAAAAAGCACTTTTTTAACATTTAGAATACAGAACTTCAGATAGCATGACTTTTGGTTTTGCCAAGTTATTTTATTTCCTCTCAGAGGATTATGTTGTCCTGATATTATTTGCAAATGTTTAGAACATGGAGCTCAGTTTTGCAAGCTGAATATTTGCAAACTCTTTAGTGCCATCCCATTTTAATAAAATGTTGAAGTAGAACAATTATCAAGAGGAATATTTATTTAGAGAATTAATTTCAGGTCCATTAAATTAATGGTTTGAATGTGCTCACATATGTGGCATCACTGAAATTGGAACATTTGAGATAGGATATTTATTTTTATTATTATACACATTCAAATGGCATACGAGACCCATCAAGATAACAACAGAGAACCTATAAATCATAAAAGATACTTGTTAGAAGATGTTGCTTTAGATACACACAATCTTCTTTTTATTTACTTTTCAGGCTCCCACAAATCATAAACATCAATAATGTTCCAATTTACCAGCATAGGATCTCTAACGAAGAAGATGGGAGTGTTGTTCCCTACAAGATCCCAGTTTCCATCTTCAGTGTAGAATTTCATTGCAAAGCCTCGGGGATCACGCACTGTGTCTGCTGAGCCTGATTCTCCAGCTTAAAAAAATAAAATAAAATTCCCATGATTAAATCCTATGCATATAGTCTAATACCCCAACCAACTGTTTCTATGTATTTACTTACTGTGGAATCTATAATTTCTATGGTTGACATTTAAGAGATAAAGAGCAGAAACAGAATTGAACTGAAGTAATTTAAAGTTCAGAGGGTTAGCTGGAGGCTAGGAAGAGGTGACTTGAGTAAATGGAAAAATTACTTACAAATTAATTTACAGAATACATTCACTGACTACATGCAGAAAAAGCACTGATGAAATACTTGTTAAATTTGCACCTTGCTTTCATGACTTTACATTTATTGGAGATGCCCATTCATCAGACCCTGGACAGCTTACAAAATATAATACTAGTAGAATAGAATAACAGAGTTGGAAGAGACCTTGGAGGTCTTCTGGTGCAACCCTGTTCAAGCAGGAAACCATTTCAGACAAATGGTTGTCCAATCTCTTCTTAAAACCTTCCATTGTTGGAGAATTCATAACTTCTGGAGGCAAGTTGTTCCACTGGTTAATTGTTCTAACTGTCAGGAAATTTCTCCTTAGTTGTAGGTTGCTTCTCTCCTTGATTAGTTTCTATCCATTGCTACTTGTCCTGCCCTCAAGTGCTTTGGAGAATAATAGTAAGCCTGATTCAAGCATTTTGGATATATAAAAAACAGAAGATGCTTCCATACCTCTCTTAGCTGTTTCCCCTGGCAGAATAATACTTTCATGCACAAGTTATGTTTATTGATATCAACTTGTGAGAAGCATTAATGCCTATACATCAGTTAAATTAAAACAGTTAAAAACAAAAATCAATACAAATAAAAACACAACCATTTAAATCAAACTGTCAAATAATGTTATAAATTATATGTCATTCTTCTTTCAGATACATGCAGACATAAATATCCTTTAGAGGAAGAATATGCCTATATTTGGGGTATTCATAAAACTTGCTCAAGAATGCATGTGTTGATCCTTTCCTGCTGTAGCGTATTTAATAATTCTATACTGAAGGTATTATTTCTTAAATAATAAATAATAAGAGCTGTGGTGGCACAGTGGTTAGAATGCAGTACTGCAGGCTACTTCTACTGACTGCCAACTGCCAGAAGTTTGGCAGTTCGAATCTCACCAGATTCATGGTTGACTCAGCCTTCCATTCTTTTGAGGTGAGTAAAATGAAGACCCAGATTGCTGAGGGCAATATACTGACTCTGTAAACCACTTAGGGAGGGCTGTAAAGCCCTGTGAAGTGGTTTATAAGTCTAAGTGTTATTGCTATTGCTAAATGACATTGTCCAGTATCAATTAAAAACAGCATATAAACACCCACTGAAATAGATTAAAATGTTACACACACACACATTAAATGAAACTCTTTTATATATGAAGCAAATAAATAAGATACCTGAACGTCTTCAAAATCCTTACCAACAGTTGAAAATCGAATAGTCATTGGAGTTCTTTTGCCTATGTACTCAAATACCTTTGCCTTGCAGAATGTGGTGATATCATGTGTCACTTCGAAATAGCCAGATGCTCCTGAAAAATTAAAAGGAGTTACCCTGTTAAAATTTAAAAATATTATTCCAAAGTCCATAAATTTGAAAAGAATATCACTTATGGTAGAAGAAACATTATCATCTTACATGTACACTTTTATGATATTTTTTTTGGAAATGTTGATCGTTACTATAAATATAGCATCTCTTTTAATGAAGAGTCTCTGATTCAACAAAGGATTCTGCTAACAAAAGGGAATAAATCAACTTTCACTATTTTTGTCTTGTTTCCCACCCACCCCTAACATTGATGTAAAGCAAATGAAATAATTATTGGATCTTTTAACAATTATTAGCTATTGCACACAAGAGACTGAGCAAGGGTAGTTTCTAAATATTTCTACCTATAGCATATCATTCTTGATTAGACCTGTAATACACCTGAAAGGGTCTATGGCATGCAAGAAAAAAAACAGAACCTAAATTAAATATTAAAAAATGCATAGTGAAACTATGCTTAGCTCAATATGAACTTCTGAATCATAAATACTTTTCTGGAGCAATAAATGCAAAGACTTTTTCCTCTGGACAATACAATATTTCTAGAATTTCTTTTAAAAATTCTGAAAAAGTATTATGAGTCAACTGAAAGTTGACAAGTAAACTACGGTAGGTTAATAAGAGCTTAGTACATGTGATACAATTAAGCAAGGATTCAGCAGAATAAATAATGATTTATAAATGATGTAATGTTACAGAATAAAGTGAAAAAAGGTGATAAAAAGATCTCTTTCTCCAACATTAAAGAGAGTTAATCCGATTCTAATATTTTCTGGTTACTTCTATTCACAAATCTATGAGCCATACAAGATTAATTAACCACAATTTAATGTTTTAAAGAAAAGATGTTAAATGTTATTACATTTATTTATTTATTTGTCAATCACTTACAAGATAACAGGTATAAGTATAAACATAGTTATGAATACATGAGATGGATATGTATAAGAAAAATAAAAAGAAACAATAGGACAGGGATGGTAGGCGCAATTGGTGCGCTTATGCACGCCCCCTACAGGCCTCTTAGGAAAGGGGTGAAGTCAATAGTAGACAGTCTAAGGTTAAAGTTTTGGGGGTTTGGGGGAAGAAACCACAGATTCAGGTAGAGTATTCCAGACATTGACCACTCTGTTGCTGAAGTCGTATTTTCTGCAATCAAGTTTGGTGCAGTTAACTTTAAGTTTGTATCTATTGTGTGCTCTTGTATTGTTATGGTTGAAGCTGAAGTATTAGGTTAACAACTCTTAATGCCTTTTTGGCTATGTAGTTACAGTGGGCTCTAGCACTTAGATCATTAGAGATGAGTACTCCAAGGTCCTTGACAGAGCTTGGATCCTCAACAAGGTCTTGACTATTCAGCTTGTATTTTCTGATTTTTTTTGTCAATATGTAAGAGAGCATTTATTTGTTGAGATTTGAAGTTGCCATTTGGTAGTGTTATATTCTGGCTGTGCCAGAATGGTTTTTTCTTCATCCTGATTCGTTGGGAGTCTTGGTCTGTGTTTATTGGTCTTGGAGTTTTCTGTATTCTGCTTGATTGGTGTTTCTAATATCTTCTGTCTGTTTGAAGATATGTCTGAAACGGCTGTGAAAGTCTGACTCACAGAGGAACACAATACAGAAGCCTGATGATGGCAGATGAGATATACAGAAACCTGATGATGGCAGATGAGAATCTGCCGAAACGTTGCTACAACTTTAAAAGCACAACTACAATGACATGGGAAAATACCCGAACAAAGCTGAATACCCCATATATATATAACACTACCAAATATATATATAGTGTTATATCAATTAACAAAATAAAACCAGCAAATATAAATAAAAACAAGATAAAAACATAACTTTAAACTCTCACAGATGAATAAATTATAGATAATTCAAACTCCAATGAAGAAAATCAGTAGCAAAAATATTGCAATGACTAATTATCATTGGTTGCCTCTCAGACTAGTGTACAGTTAGGTCCTCGACATACAACCACAACTGGGCACATTTCTGTAGTGAAACATTTGTTAAGTGAGTTGGCCCCTTTTATGACTTTTCTTGCCAGAGTTAAGTGAATCACAATAGTTTTTAAATTAGACAAGCTTGTTGTTAAGTGAACGGGGAATTACCTCAACATGGCTTCCCCATTGACTTTACTTTTTAGAAACTCACAACAGGAGATTGCGTGATTCCATGACACTGCAACCGTCATAAACATGAATCAATTGCCAAGTGTCTGAATTTTGATCACATGACTATAGGGTTGCTACTATGGTCGTAAGTGTGAAAATTGGTTATAAGTCATTTTTTTTCACTGCTACTTTGTAGTAACTTTGATTGGTCACTAAATGAACTGTTGTAAGTCGAGGACTGCCTGTATAAACTTCACAGAATAAAAAAAGATTCCTGAATAGATTGATTAAAAGCATAAGAGGCACAGACACCATGCAAATTCAAAGACTAACCAGCTCCTTTGGCATGGACAACTCTCTCAGGAATCCTTTCTCGATCGAAATGTGCCATCTCATCAGTGAAAACCACATCCTGAACCAAGAGTGGACCTCTTGGACCAACAGTCAGGACATTCAGCTTGTCTGCCACTGGGATTCCAGCTCCTGTGGTTAAGCAATCAGCTTCCTGAGTTCAAAACAAGAAGCACAGTTACAACCTTCTCATCTCCTACGAGTAGATGGGTTCCCTATTGAGTGGCATAAAATATTTATAGAACTTTTGGTGCCAAAACTTTTCCAAGAATACAACAGGAAATTGATAAGGGAATTTTATCACCTGCATTTAATCAGGCTTATGTTACAGTTATACCAAAAGCTGGTAAAAATCATATTTAGCATTCTAATGGTCATGCCATCTCAATGATGAATGTTGATACAAAATTTTAACACAATGTTTAAATAGATTAAAGCAGCGATATGGTTTGTTACTAAAAATGAACAAACAAGATTTACAAAAACTAGATATCAGATTAGTTGTAGATCTGAATAAAAATAAAAATAAATGTGTAATATTATCATTCGATGCTGCAAAAGTCATTGACAAAATACACAAACAGTACATGTATGCTGCACTAAATAGACTTGGATTTCCTTTAGAATTTATAAAATAAAGATATTATATAAGCCCCCTACATCAGGGGTGTCAAACTCAAGACAGATCTGGCCCTTAGGGTGCTTATATCTGGCCTGTGGAGCCACCCTGGAAATAGTGAAGGACTAGTCCACTGTGCCTCTACTGGTGAAAATGGAGCTCCTGAGCTCCATTTTCCCTGGCAGAGGGTTGCAGGAGGCCATTGCAGCCAAAAATGGAGCTGGGGAGTCCATTTTCTCTGGCAGGGTGCTTGGGCCACCACAGGTGCCCCCGACACGAATGATATCTAGCTTGCCATGCCCACCCTAGCCACATCCACTCTGGCCCCCTGAGGTTAAGCACAACCCTAATGCGGCCCTCAATGAAGTCAGGTTTGACACCCCTGCCCTACATCTAAAGTGAATGGTATGCTTTCTCCTAGTTTTCCACTACTTAGAGAACCTAAGCAAGATGTCCACGTACACTCTTTCTTTTTAATATCAGCATGGAACCCTTGGCTTTGCCATTAGACAATATAGTTGAACTCAAATCGGTTGTATTAGCATGTGATTTTTTTTTGTTTAGTTCTAAACCTCATGCTACTACCCTAGTGTTGATGCAAAAGAAGCTATTGCAGAATACTCTATTAATTGGTCCAAATTGGAATTGATACCTATAGGCAAAAATTTGGCTACCCATCCATTTCAGGACTATCAATTCTGTATTTATTCCAAATCCATTAAATGTTTAGGTACATGGGTACAAAAGGTTAAACTCAGCAGCAAGTAATATAAAGAAAATAGAACACTCTCAAAATGAATATTATTCTCAGATTAATTAATATTCTGATATGAATCCCGGTTTATATATCTGGAAAATATTTTCAAAAAATAAATTCTTGATTTAGAAAATTCTTGATTCCAAGAATATCTTTACAGAAAATACAATTACCAAATAGTGAGGGGGGAAGGTTCAGTTTTCTTAATTTGGAGCTATATTGTCATGTTTATCTATTATCAATTATTCAATAATGGAAACCAACAACTGGTATTATTATTTTTTATTTGGGAACTTTGGTTGGATAGACAGTATAAGGATCTCAATATACTAAAATTCTAATATCTCTGGAAACAATTACATCAGAAAATTATGATTGATTATTTTTCCCATGCCAAATAACTTTATGGGAAAACCAAATTTTAAAAATTGGTGAAAGAATGATGATATGGAAGAATTGAATAGAAGTAAGATATTGATTTCAGTTCAATTGATAAATGAAGATAATTTCTAACATGCTCTGTGTTAAGACATCTATCATCTACCAGATGTAACCCAAAGGAAAAATTTACACTTATAACATTTGTTAACAACATTGATTGGGCCAGATTATGAGACACCTAAAATATTAGGACAGCTTGTTAAATCCTAGATAATGCCTAGAAGCCTGCACTATAACAAATCTGCCATTAACAAGCACATAGATTAAACAAACATCTACCGCATATACCCAGATGAATACCAAATTTAACATAGACTAACAATCAAGAAGCAAACAATATCCCAAAAAAAGAAACTGCCAAACAAGCTAACAGTAAACAGCACAATTTAAGAACCACCAAGACCACTCCCAACAATACTGGCAGGGCATGCATGGAGCGCACAATCATGCCTCCGTCCCTGTCCTATTGTCCCCAATTATTAGTTCCTATTTCATGTATTTAAACTTATACTTATTCTTATTTCTATTATGTTGTAAGCGTTTGACTAAATAAATACATAAATAAATAAATAAATACATACATACATACATACATACATACGTAGAATATAACCGTGATGGCGGACCTATGGCACATGTGCCAGAGGTGGCAAGCAGAGCCGTCTCTCTGGGCATGCGAGCCGTCACCCCAGCTCAGCCACGCATTCGCGTGCGGCTCCCATTGGCCATGCTGCGCATGTGCGGTGGGGCACAAGAGTTGTGCACACATGCACAGGGGGCAGGGCGCATGCATGGGGTGTGCACGCATTGCATTTTGGGGATGCAGATGTGCACACTTTGGGCACTTGGTATCGAAAAGGTTAGCCATCACTGGAATATAAAATGAGAGCAAATCCCATTCTGTACCAATACTGATAATGCCACCTAGTTTGGATAATGCAAGAAAACAACCAAGTTCAGAAAGTACCAAGAACTCCTCATTTTAACCAAAGGTGGTATTCAGCAGGTTCTGACCAGTTCTGGAGAACTGGTAATGGAAATTTTGAGCAGTTCAGAGAACCGGTGGTAACCTTCCCCCTGGAATGTGGTGGGAATGGAGATTTTGCAGTATCTTCCCCAGAGTGGGATGGGAATGGATATTTTACAGTATCTTTCCCATGCCACTCCCATAAAGCCACACCCACCAAGCCATGCCATACCCACCAAGCCACATCCACAGAACCAGTAGTAAAAAAATTTGAATCCCACCACCGATTTTAACCCTAAGCTACCAATATTTTCCAAGGTAAATGGAATCTCTGGTTATGTACAAAAGACTGGTGTAGCATAGAAAAAATAAATGTATGGTTCTTTACACATAATAAATTGAAAACCTAATTGCACTTGCCATTTATGAGCCTATTTCGTGTGTGTGTGTGTGTGTGTGTAGCATTCAGCTTTGTTCAGGTATTTTCTCATGTCATTAAAGTTGTGCTTTTAAATTGTAGCAACGTTTCCGCAGAATCTCATCTACCATCATCAGGCTTCTGTATTGTGTTCATCTGTGAGACTCACAGCCTACTGCTGTGCCAGAATGGTTTTTTCTTCATCCTGATTTGTTGGGAGTCTTGGTCTGTGTTTATTGGTCTTGGAGTTTGCTGTGTTCTGCTTGATTGGTGTTTCTAATATCTTCTGTCTGTTTTGTAGCTTTTTTTGTCTTGATTGGCTGGCAACATTGTGTTTCCTGTATTGGAGGCTTTTAGTGCAGCTTGGCTCCGAGTAAATGGACGGTTATCATTTATTAGGAAGCTAGGTTTCATCTAGGTGCCTGGTTGGGATGTGTTTGAACTGGAGGTATCAGGGGGAGTCAGTTTGTGCCCAGGTGTTTGGCTGGCTTGTGGTGTGGAGATTTTTTTTGAGAGTGCAGGCTTCCAGATAATTGACAGTCTGGTGGAGTCATCTCTTCTATTCATGCTTTCAGGTCTTTTTTCAATCTCTATGGCTTCTCTGATAATTCTGTAGCTGGGGTTTTCTATAGTGGCTAGGGTTTTGGTACCATTGAAGTTGATGCTATGACCTGTGGCTTTCATGTG